ATCCCAACTCCTTCAGATTGTCAGAATCATTTTCTTTGTATCCTCAGGTAAGGATGTCGTGGGAAAAGTGTGCAAGAGTGAGTGTGAGTGATACTAAAACATCTTGTACTATTTGTCAGATTCAAGAGGGGAGGAACAGGTGCTTTTTTAATTTAGTGGTCTGGTCTTGTAGTTCACTGCTGCAAGTGACTGATAGGGGAAGAATTCTGAGTAGTTAATAAGGGGTAGACTTTTTTCCGAAGAATTTGCTGTTCAGAAAGATTGGATTTGGGTCCAGAAGTTTTGGCAACTTTGGCTGACATTTCCTCTTCTCACTCATGTTTCTGGTGCAGTTCATGTTCCATCTACGGCGCTCCCCATTCCTGCAGGTCTTCAATAACAGTCCTGATGAATCTTCATATTACCGTCACCACTTTGCTAGGCAAGATCTGACTCAGTCTCTCATTATGATCCAGCCCATCCTTTATGCTTATTCTTTCCATGGGCCTCCTGAGGTGAGTCTGTGTTCTACAGGAAGAGGTGAATCAACCCAAAATAACGAGTATTCAGTCAGAGTAACACTATTTCAGCAAAGAGGCCCCTATATTTCTTTTTTAGTTAAAGCCGAGATGCTTTTGTTCAAGATCATATCAAATTACACTTGGATGGCCATGGATGCTCTCTGGCATCCTGCACTTCATACAGGTGCTGATAACCTGCTGCTGCATTCTGTGGTGCTGCAGGAGGCTGGCCACACTCTGCTGGGCATTCACATGAACTGAGCAGTGCCTGTATGGGGAGGGTTCAACAAGCTGTTTGGCCAACCATGAAGGTTAATATACTTCTGAGGGCTTAGGGGTGCCTGACTTTGTTCTTTATTTTCTCCAGCCAGTGCTTTTGGATAGCAGCAGTATTCTTCCTGACAGAATCCTCCTGATGGATACTTTCTTCCAGATAGTTATCTACCTTGGTGAGGTACAGTGAACTACGTTCTCTTTCTCTGTTTGCACTCCCTCCCTCCTGCCATGCATGTGGACAGCATTGCTGCTAGTACAAAATAAGCTTCTTGCAAAGCCCACGTGAGCTTAATGACATGGTATACATGCTGCCTGTTTGAATAGAATTTCTCCACTATCGGAGTTAAAATAATACTGGAATTGCTAAGGATGTGTTCTGCACTGAGTAGCAGCTGTTATGTTAGCTTGGTAATGAAGGTGGTCCCTTACCATGCCTGGAAGAGGCTAGAGACACTTGAAACTAAGCAGGACAGAGAGTTACAGTTTGATTTTTCAGATGCGTGACAGACTTGATTGCAGGGTTTTGACACTTAAATAGTGCTTCTCTTAAAGAAATCAATTAGGCAGTTTTACAGTTTTTGCTTTTAAATACTGGATGTTTTTGGAAGCTGCTCCTATATTTCTTCCATCATGACTGAGGTAAATGCTTATATACTGGCTCTTTCTGAACATACAGACTTACTCCTTGGCTTTGATCTACTTTGATCTGCCTGTGTACTATGCAGACCTGTAGATCTGTGTCTCAGTCCTGTCAGGTTTTGGAAGGGAGCAGTGCACTACTGTAGTTGAAGAACAGAAATGTGTCACATCCTAGAGTAGTTATAGGGTAAGGGATGAAGAGGAAGGCTGCTTTCCACTTCTTTCTCTGGAAAACTCCCTGTTCTTTGATGCCTTTTTTCCCCCCTCATATCCTTCCTATCCATATTCCCTCGTATGATTCCTATTAGTGAAAACTTTTTGGGAGGTATTTTAACCCTGCCCTTTGTCTTTGAATTAAGCTACTCTGCTGTTATTTCATGACTGTTATTAGAATGCTTGAAGTTTGGCATGATAGTTTTTGGCAGCCCCACTGTTAGCTCCTGATTTCACTCCATGTAGGATTTGTTCCCTTTGAGAAGTGAGAAGGGATACCCAATTCACACGAACAGGAGTTGAAGACTTGAGTCAACAATGACAATAAATCTGGAGTGACCTTAAACAGTTTCTACCTGCTGTTGCAGAGCAAGACACTCAGCAACTGGGTAAAATTTAGACAGAGGAAGAGCTAAGTGTGTGACCTTGTATATGTGTAGAACAATTGCTACATACATATGGTACATACAATAGGTACCTTGAAAATACTGTAAGGTCAAGTCAGATTCTTCATGTTTCTGTGTTGGCACAGGCTGAAACATAAAGGCTTGAAGATCACTTTCAACTAATTGCTTTTGCACTGCACAAATTGTTACCAGCTTTTGTGTTGAGTGCCTGTGCTTCAATTCAGGGACAGAAAGTAATGTTTTTGCCAGAGCAGTGAAAGGGTGCATTTACCCTGTAAGCAGAAGTATATGTAACATTTTGCTGCTTTAAGATGTGCAGGTTAAAGAGGAGAGGCTTGCAGACATCTCTGCTCTTGTTTTCATTTCATCCCTGTATCGTCAATAGACTATTGCACAGTGGCAGAAAGCTGGATACCAAGACATGCCTGAATATGAAAACTTCAAGCACCTACTGCAAGCCCCACTGGATGATGGCCAGGAAATCCTGCAGACCAGATTCCCAATGCCACGTTACATCCACACTGAACATGGGGGCAGTCAGGTAGGAAAGTTTATGGAGGAACTCCTTCTGTTGTTCCCTAGAGCAGACGGCTGTCTTTCTGCTTTTCTGGAAGGATGGTTCTGTTAGTTAAATGTAGTGGTAATTTAGCTCTTCGAAGTACAGAGCTTTTACAACAACTCTGTCTTTTAATAAGCAAGTTACTTGCTGGATATACTTTTGAATTCCGAGGATGGGAAAAAAATGGAAAAGCTGACTTAAATACATTTTTATTCCCAAAGAGGTGGGAAAGAAATGATTTGGTTATGTGTCTATAGTTAACCTGCAGTAATGCTGAATGATTGACCACCTGCTCCTTTATTCTCTAACACTGAACGAGGATATAAAGTAGTTCCTATTGTTGTTGTTCTTGGAATTGCAGTTGTGCTGTGCTTCCCTGTGCTTGGCTTGTTTGTAGCAGTGAAGAGGCAGGAACTGATGGTCCAAAACAAAGATTTGGTATTGATTTTTGATGTGACTCTGTTACACTGGTCCTCCACTGACCCCTTTTCTGAAGAGCAGATGGGGCAAGGGACAGAGCTGGTGACATGCCCATGTTGCATGGAACCAGAGCTGCCCTGCCAGGTGAGCATGACTTGTAGCAGAGTACTCAATGCCCCTTGGACACAGGTTGTCTGTGGAGCAGGGCTGTTTCTGGACTTGAAACCTTGTTTAAGTTACATTAGTACCTTGCTTGCAAAAGCAAAGGAACATCTCTAGTCATGGATCTAAGGTGGTATGAAGCTTGAGGGAGCTCACAGGTCTGTCATTTTACAAAACTACTTCTCTTTTGTCCTGATAGGCCCGGTTCCTCTTGTCTAAAGTGAACCCATCTCAGACCCACAATAACCTCTATGCATGGGGACAGGTAAGCAATGAAAGAGCTGCTCATGTTTGGGAATGCTGTAAAATGTACATTTACATATTTGTCTTTGCAGCAGGCATTTGTTTTCACAAAAACGTGGCCACAAACAGTGAGCAGGTTACCTTTGTCCTCAGTTTCTTACCGTGGTTGTTGATAAGATAAACAGTACTGGTGGGGACCACTAGATGATGAGACTAACAGTTTTCAAGCCTGGATGACTAATTCATGTTCCTATTCTTGTACTGAATCCCCACAAATTTTCCACAAAACCCAGTTGATTTTGAGGTTTTTCCTCAAGGCATCCAAGGAATGCCTGTCCAAACAGAGCTGATGCATCAACAGTTCAGGACCTGAGTAGCTTGATGGCAGGAAAGGAGTGGTTTCCACAAGGAGTAGTTTTTCCCTTTGATTTTTCCCTTCCCATATCCCAGCTGCATGGGGGGCACAGGCAAACCAGGAGAATTTTCTGTGTTGGCTGCTATTGAAGGAAGCAGCTGATTTTATGTAGCCTATGTTCGTAGAGATTTCAGGTGACCTGATGTAGAAATTTATCTTGACCCTTCCCTACAAATATGATTTAAATAGGTCACAATGTTTTTAGTATTTTGGGAAAAGTAACTAGCATATGCATACATAATAGATCTAAGAATTCTATCTGAGAATACTAGACTTTCATATCCCTTTTGTTTATCTTGTTTGTGTAGCCCTTTGGGCAGCAAAATTCCTAATGCTTTAGGAAGAAAAGACTTTTCTGCAGTAATTCAGATTATAGTGGAGGATAGTGTTAGTGCTGTTGCCAAAAAGTAGCACCTTTTCATTAGATCTGCTGAGGATCTCTAATGATCCTGTCTTTTGCAGGAGAAAAAGGTGGTTAATTTAGCAGGCAGTCAATTCAGAGCGCTAACATTTTATTTGCTTTCAATTAGACCCCTGCATTAACAACAGTATTTTAGGCTCATTATTTCTTTTTTTTTTTTTTTTTTCAGGAATCAGGAGCTCCAATCTTGACAGATGATGTGAGTCTCCAGGTATTCATGGACCACTTAAAAAAGCTGGCAGTTTCGAGTGCATCGTGACTGATCAAACTGAGGAGCAAGAACAGACATGGATCATGTTGATGACAGAAATGGAGCAGTTTAGTTACATTTCCTTTTCTCTCTTTTTAACTAGGGGTTTTAAGTATTACATGAAATAAACATTCCAGGGGAGTTTTTACTGCTCCTTTCTAACTTATTTGTATTCCCTTTTGTCTATATTCTGCTTACTCTACGTTCTTCACACACTGTAATTAGAGCTGAAGGATGTTTTAGTCAACAGAGATTTTGACAGTCTTTGGCTTAATTTTAATGTCGCGTGTTCTTAAAGAGTGGCTTTTGGCAACCAGCGGACTGTATTAATGAAAAATAAAATCAGGTAAGAGAACCACTCCTTAGTGCTGTCCCCGACTTCAGGTGTACGTGCCATGGGCGTTTCCTGCCTCCTCCTCCTTTCCCCCCCGCTCCTGCGGCCATCTTGCCGCTGCCGCCGCCCTGCGCGCCGCCCCATTGGCTGCGGGGCGCGGCCAATGAGCGCCGGCGTTACTGGGGCGCGATGCGCGCGGCCGTGTGGAACGCGCGGGCAGCGCTGCTGTACTCGCTGGGCGGATGGACGGCGCTGGGCGGGATGATGTACTACAGCCGCTACGGCAGCGGCGGCGGCCCCGAGAGCGGCGGCGGCCCCGGTACGGGCTGGCGCGGCCCCGGGGACGGTGCCTCGGGTCACCCCGGGAAGGCGTGACGCGGCTGGGCCTTGGGGTGGGGTTTGACGGGGGGAGGGCCTCGCTCGGGGGCGGGGCTCCGGCGGGGCGGGGCGTGTCCGGGGGCGGTGCTTGCGTGAGGGAGCTCGGCCGCGCGCGGGGCTTGTCCGGGGACGAGTCCTGGGGGAAAGCGCCGGGATCGCCCCCGGGACCGCGCCTGCCGCGAATTTCGGCCGGGGAAAGCAGGGCCGGGTGCTGCCCCCGCCGCGCTGCCCCGACAGTACACCCGCCCGCCCGCCCGCCTCTCTGGGCGCTTGGGTCTGGAAGTGGCAGCAGCTGTCTTTTTTTCAGATTGACTTGCTTCATTTGTACTCTGGTCACGGTCACATAGTTATAGTACGTGGTATCTCAGAACGCAGTTGTGGTCAGCAACTGTAAGGCCGCCGGAGCGCGGGCTTTGCTTGGGCCGGGTGAGTGAACGGGGTGTCCACCCGGTCCCCTGGCAGCCCGAATGGGTTAACCCTGAAGGAAGATAAACCCCCTGTTGAAGGGAGAAGCTTGTGCTTTACCGCAGGTCACAGGAACAGGGACTAGAGTCTTCCCAAACTGTTGCTTTTATTTACATCGTGGGAGTGGTTGAAAGCTGTGCTGGGGGCAGATTAGGCTGGACGTTAGGAAGCGTGTCTACCGGGAGAGTGGTCAGACAGTGGAACAAGCTTCCCGGAGAGGTGGTCGACACCCCCAGCCTGTCGGTGTTTAAGAGGTCTTTGGACAATGCTTTAACCTTTGGTCAGCTCTGCACTGAGCTGCTTGAGCTAGCTGTAATGTGGGTAACTTGGAAGCCAGTTGTTATTGCTGCTATTGTAGTACTGTTTCTTGTCCAGTGCCAGTGCAGGTATTTAACCTACCCTAGTAAATCACTTTTTCTGACTACAGAGTTGCCAGATCTTTGCTATCTATTCCTCAAAATTTGAGGAAAAGGGAAAAGAAGACTGAATGCCCATGTGGCTGCTGTTGTGTCATGACGAAGGCATGAAACATTTTTATTGCTGTGCTCTCTTTTGTCTCCCCTCTTACCCTCCCCCCATTCCTTAGAGAATGAAAATGATCCTCAGACGAACCAAGGGCCCAATAAGGAAGTATACACTACGGAAACACCTTTCGGATTCCAAGTGAAAACAGAAGTAACATACAGAGATGTTCAGCCTCCTCTTACTCGGCTGCTCAGGCGTGTGGTATCATTCTTTTATTCTAGTGGCAGCCCGCCTTCTGAAAAGTGAGCTGCCTGAAAGCTCAGAACGTTGTGCTGGGGCTCTGAGAGTGTCATCCCCGTGCCTAATGTCAGACCACCACTGGAAAATTGTCCCTTGCATTTCTGAAGCAACAGCTCCATCTTGGACACCACTCTGCTGGACTTGCCAACCTTCTTGTCTGCTTGGATCGCTGCTGTTCTTTGTGTATATTGGAATTGCTGAACATGAACTGGGTTCATCCAGGTGTCCTGTGAGGTGTTGATGAACCTCTGTGCTGCCTGGTGTCCTGCGACCAATGCTCTGACCAGGTATGAAGTTGATTTCCCAGCTGGTGTGCAGGATGATCCAGAATGTACCTGGGATGGCTTCTCAACTGAGCAGCTCTGAAATGGATACTTGAAGAACAATTAGTAAATGGGAAGGAGTGTAGTTTAATGTTTCAGGTACAAGAGTTCTTGCTCATCCTTCAAATAAAAGCTTATGAGGGATGAATTACAACTACTGCGAGTTAAAAAGTTATTAAATTTTCTGCTCCAGGCTCTTGTTTCTATAGGGATTTTTCTGATCCTTATATATGCTATGCCCCCTTGTAGGATACTGTCCCCTAGCTCTGTGGCCATAACTCATGTTCATTCTGTAGGGTTTTCTCTAGTCCTTATGTACATCACCTCCTTTCCAAGCTCCTGGCCACCATTTTCTGTTGACGTTTCCCCTTGTTTCTCTCACTGCTGACCCTCATTGCTGCAGGGGCTCCCTGCAACCTCCACTTCCTCTTCTAGAGCTTTGCCCCCAGCCCTTCCTTTTTCCACAGGCTTCCTCCAGTCCCTATGGACATGGCCTCCCTTTTGGGGGGAGCTGAACCAAGACCCTGCACCGGCAGAGCTTCCTTTCTGTAGGAGCTTCTACCTGCCCCTGCCCCACCTCTCCGTTTCCATCAAGGTTCTCCCTACGGCCTTTTTAGGACACTCCTTGCCCTACCCCACACAAGTCTCTCTATGGTCTCCCATCTTGCCATAAGGAACGCTGTCTCTGCCCACACACCTCAGGTTCCAGATCCTTCCACTATCTGAAGGGGGTGTACAGGGAAGCCGGAGAGGGACTCTTCATCAGGAACTATAGTGATAGGACAAGGGGGAAAATATAGGGTAGATATTGGGAAGAAATTCTTTACTGGGAAGGGAGTGAGGCACTGGAACAGGTTGCCAAGGGACATTGTGGATGCCCCAGCTGTGGAAGCATTCAAAGCAAGGTTTTGGATAAAGCCTTGAGCAACCTGGTCTAGTGAAAGGCCTCACAGCAGCGGGATTGGGACTAGATGATCTTTAAGGTCCCTTCCAACCCAAACCATTCTATAATTCTATTGGAGCTTTTATAACACAAGCCCCACCCAGTCCATGCACCTACAGCCTCACCTTTCCATATAGACTCCTCTGGTCCCTACAGCTACCACCTCCTTTTCCAGAGGGCTGCTCCCAGGCACTAATTTCTCTGGGCACCGCCTCGTGTCCCTGTAGCTGTTGCTATAGAGGTGCCGCTCTGGTCACCTGCGTTTTCTCCCTTATGTAGGTGCCCCCACAAAACCCTACAGACATTAACTCCCCTTTAGAGGAAGGGAGCCCCTCCACACACTGAACACCTGTGCACACCTGTCCTGTGCATACCTGTCCTGTGCATACCTGTCCTTTACGCACCTGTGCATGCCTGTCCTAGGCACACCTCTACGCACCTGTTCCGTGTACATCTGTGCACACCTGCCCTGAACACATCTGCCCTGAACACACCTTTCCTGTAGACACTAGGCCTGTACATGCCTGTACCCATCTGTGCATGCCTGCCCTGCGCATACCTGTGCACACCTGTCCTGTGCACACCTGTCCTGTGCACACCTGGTCAGTGCACGCCTGGTCAGTGCACACCCAGTCTGTGCACACCTGCGCACACCTGTCCCTTTGCTCTCGAAGCTGTCGGGGCTGTGCCGGGGGGCTGCAGTAGCACCTCCCGGCCGCGATGCGGCGGTGCGGGCGGGCGGCGGGCAGGGAGCGGCCGCCGTTGCCGGGCGCCGCCGCCTGTCCCCGCTCGGCGCCGGCCCGCGCTGCGCCATGAAGGCGATCGTGCAGCGGGTGGCCCAGGCCAGCGTCACAGGTCAGTGCGCCCCAGCCGGGAGGGCTGGGGGCGGCCGTGTGTCTGTGTGTGTCTGTGTGTGTGTGTGCGCTCCCCTTTCCTTGTCCCGCTGCGTGGGCCGGCTCGCTTGCTTCTCCCAAGGGGGCCCAGCCCAGCTCCCTCATGGGTTGCGTGTGTGGTCTGTGTATCGAGGTCTGTGTACATCCTCACCTTGCCGGCGTGGGCTGGCAGTCCCGCTGCAGTCGCCTCCTCGGGTGCCTTTGTGTTGGTACTACAGTCGCAGTCATTTTGCATTGCTTGTTTGTGTTCACAGAATCACAGAATTTTTTGAGTTGGAAGGCACTCAGGAGGATCATCGAGTCCAACTCTTAGCCCTGCACAGGATATACGCAGGAGTCACACCATGTGCCTGAGAGCGTTGTCCAAACGCTTCTTGAATTCTGTCTCAGGCTTGGTGTCCGTGTTGGTGGGGCTATCCTGGTCACTGCCGCGTTGCTGTGTGTGTTGGCAGTGCCATCCCCTCTGCGAGCCCCCGCTCCTGCATGTGTGCCACGACAGCCACAGCCACCTGCATCGCTTGCTTGCGTGGCAGGACTGAACCAGTGACTGTTCCACGTTGCCCGTGTGTGTGTCAGAGTAGCCATCCCAGCTGCCTCCTTGCACCACGGACACGTGCTGGCACCACGGTCACGGTTGCCTCTGTCCTGCCTGTGCATGTCAGCAGAGAGTCTGTGATCACCTTCCCCCAGCGAATGTGTCAGCACTGTAATCAAGGGTGCCTCCATGCAGCGTGTATGTGGTGGCAGTGCCATCCCGGTTTCCCTCTCCTGTGGCTCGTGTGCATTGGCAGCACAATCACAGTCACCTCGGAGCATTGCAAGCGTGTTGGCAGTGCAGCCTGGTGCCCCTTTTTGCACTGCTTGCGTGTGCCAGTGGTGCTGTCCCTGCTGCCACTGGGCACTGTTTGCCTGGGTCCTTAGCCCTGGTGCTGGTTGGAATGGTGTGTCCTGATGGAATGTCCCTGCTATTGCACTGGTTGGACCTTCTGTGCTTGGGATGCTTAAAATCCCCAAGAAGTTTGCACGTGAGTTCTGCTGTGCGGCCCAGGGGCTGAGAAGTGTGCAGCAGGATGGCCTTCACGCTATAAAACAGTTTCTGGTTGTGTGTCAGCACTGACAGAGCATGTCTGTGTAAGGGGCACAGCTTTTGTGCACAGCTGGTACTGCAGCCACAACAGTGGTCAGTCCCCATCAGCACTGGAGTTCTTGCTGACTTACTGCCACTTCTCTGGGGGATAATTTAAACTATTGCTTCTGGCTGTTGAAGAGTTTGAGATGTCACTCTCTGAGGGACAGAGTGCTGTACTTAGCAGAACACATTTCTAAGCTGGAGGACTCATACCCAGATCAAATGGAAAGAGTCTTTGTGAGGAGTTTTTCCCCCTGTTTTGCTTCTGCCCATTGGGAATAGTCCTGATATGGCCACTAGTGCAGAGACACAAGATTTCAGCTTTTGCTGGAGACCTGATCTCCTCTCATTTTACAGGATGTTTGGAGATTTTTTCCCCAGTCATGACCCTGGATGCAGTTTTAACAGCTGGTAACAGGGTAACTGGTGCTTATCTCAGTTTTAAGGCTGCATCTAATCTTACTACAGTGATCTCAGGATCAACCATGGTCCATAATTTAAATTGAGATAATCAGTTTAAGATAATTTAAAACATTTCTTAGGAAAACACTATAGATCTGTGATGGTTTGTGTTTTATTGTAAATGTCATTAAAGGGGTTGTGTTCCCAATTAGAAGGGCAGAATTTGCAGGTTGTTAAAAGTCATATTTCAAAAAATTCGTGAGGGTAGAAGGTAGAAGTCACCTTTTCACAACAAATACAAAGTATGAAGGGAATGGTGGAGTAGAGAACTTGAGTAAACTTAGTGACATCAACCAGGTGGATAATTTTTACAAGTCTTGGAGAGAGTTCTGCCACTTCTCTGGTTAGCACGGCTGATCCAGCAGTAGTAAAAATCTTGCAACAGTTTTTAAATGCTGGAGTAAGCATCCTGAGCTCACAAAGAAGTTGTGACGCTGGGAAGCTTTTGAAAGAATGCTTCTATGTGATCTTTAATCTCTACAAACTTAATGCAGATAAGCAGGGTTTGGAAATGCTTTTTTCTGTGGTGGATGAACAGTTTTCCAACTGAAACCAGTACTTACCTGTGCCATAAAACAAGACAGTGCATTTAACCTTACTTTTCCCCCTCTCCTTCTCCAGTGGGTGGTGAACAGATCAGCTCAATAGGACGAGGCCTCTGTGTGCTGCTGGGCATTTCTTTGGAAGATACACAAAGAGAGCTGGAGCACATGTAAGTCGCTTATTTCCTTTTGCCTTGTGCCGTTTTACTTGTTCATTGCTGATACTGAATCACTGATACCTGTGCAGTAGCCAAACAAATTGGTTATTCCTATTGGGAAATTCAGGTTTGCCTGTTAGTTCCTCTTGAGATTTTACCTTGAATACAGAATTCTTAGTTAGTTCTTAGTTTATGTTCCACTGAGAAAAATCTGTTTTCGTTCCCTATCTCTGTGGTTTTTAACAAGAGCAGACTCAAAAAGGAGGAATCAACATGTTGGGTTTTTCAGATTTCCCTTTTTTAGCTCTCTGTCCTTTTATTGCATGAATTTACCCAGAAGAAATCCATCCTTCAAGGATGGGATTTCTCAGAAACCTCAAACTCTCATTTTGGCTTGCACAGGAGAAGTTTTGTTCTTCCAAAAGGCAGGATACTCCTGTCAGTTACTTGTGTGGAAACATGAATCAATTTTGGCAGCCTGGAGGACTGGCTCTGACCATCTGTTCCATGGCCACAGAACAGTGTAATTCAGCCAGCAAACACATGCAAGAAGGAGTTCTCCAGGGGCTTCTTCTGTCTCCTTCAGACAGATCATTATTCTAAGACTGACCTCAGTCCTTACAAAGGCAAAGAAGAAACAGGTGGTGGAGCTGACTGATGTCAAGGAGAGGAAAGGCTCAAGCAGTGAAGAGAGAAGAATGTGAGGGACGGTGAAAACAACCCTTAGCAGATGTGGCAAAGAGACTGAGGATATGACCTGAAGGTCACCAAAGATCTCACATAAACGTTTGAAACTTGTAGAGAATTGCAGCAGAGCTGAAGGAGATTTTATTCTGACATGCTCCACTGGTTTACCTTACTGTTTGCCTCTCTCAGTGTGTAACATTTGCTCTGTCATTGTTTCTTATCCTTACCTTGGTGAATGTGGAGGGTGCTTCTAAATACTGCATGCAGGTGATCCATAGTGACCGTGCTCTCAACACCGGGTTGTTGGGATGACTGATGCAGGAAGGGCAGGAAGCCAGCATCTGAGAAAAAGGAATGAAAG